TGCCTTCGTGCACGCCAAAAAGGAAGCATGACTGTCCAGGCTGTTTCATCGGAGGTTGAACCCCGACAGTCTGCCCAAGATGCATCTGCGTACGTGTGTGTGACATCATGTTCGCTTTACACAACTCCATAAAAAAAGGCTCAACTATGCCAGACTGAACCACGCACCGATTCCACGATGCACGTAGCACCGTTGCACTTAGCACGAAGCACCAATCCCACGAATCAACCACCGATGCACGTAGCACCGAAACCAAACCAAGCACGAAGTAGCACGAATGCACCCAGTAGCACCAAGCAGCACGAAAGTGGCACCGATGCACAAACCAAACACGACCAAGCACGAAGTACCAAGAACGAAGTATCAAGCATTGAGAGAAAGAAAGGGAGAGGGAGAGAGAGAGAGGGGGAAAGAGAGAGGGAGAGAGGGAGAGAGAGAGAGAGAGAGAGAGAGAGAGAGAGGGAGAGAGATCCAGAGAGAGAGAGAGCGTTCGGTAGGCAGGCTGTAGGCAGGTCGCATGGGTCGCGTAGGCTGTAGGTAGGTCGCGTACATCGCGTAGGTCGCCTAGGTGGGCGTAGGCAAGTCAGTAGGTCAAGTAGGCGCGTAGGTCGCATCGCCAAGCCCGTAGGGCACGAAGTACCAAGAACGACGTACCAAACACTGAGAGAGAGAGCGGGAGAGGGAGAGAGGAAGGGAGAGGGGGAGAGAGGGAGAGAGCGGGCCAGAGAGAGAGAGAGAAAGAGAGCGCTACGGTGGGCAAGTCGTAGGTGAGGAGGGCAGAGGTGAGCGGAGGTGGACGTAAGGTGGGCAGAGGCAGAGGTGAGGTGGGCGGAGGTGAGCGTAGGTGGAGGCGGGAGCGGACGTGAGTGGAGGCAGAGGAGAACTGGTGGGGGAATGCCGAGGGAGAAGTGGCAGAGGAATCCCAAGGGGTGGGGGGAGGCGGAGGGGAGGGGACCGGAGGGCGGAGGCGAGGTGGCCCCCGAGCGGAGAAGAGGTGGGTGGAGGCAGGGAGTAGATGGTGGGTGGTGGCGGAGGTGAGGTGGGCGAAGGCGGAGAGGAGATGGCAGGAGGAGGCTGAGGGGAGGTGGGCGTAGGTGCAGGCGAGGTGGGCGCCGGGCGGAGAAGAGGTGGACGGAGGCGGAAAGCAGATGGTGGGCTGAAGCCGAGAGGAGATGGTGGGCGGTGGCGGAGGGGAGATGGCTGGAGTAGGCGCAAGGGAGGTGGGCTGAGGCGGAAGGTGGGAGCCGATGGCGGAGTCGAGGTGGGCAGGCGGGAGGGCCCGTTGGACTTCAGTGCAGGGAAAGAGCCGCCCTGCCATCGCCAAAAACGCTCTGGCTCTACAAAATAAAAACAAAAGGCCCTACCGGTAGTCCAAACATTGCGCGGCGATCCAGGCCATTCGCAATCCTACCAGCCCGACGGCCCCGATTGCCCCGCGATCTTAAAGTTTTAAGATCGTGGGCCAATCCGGGCCGTCGAGCGTAGGACCGCGAACGGCCTGGATCGCCACGCGATCTCAAAATCTCAAGATCGCGGGGCAATCCGGGCCGTCGGGCCAATAGGTCTGCGGATGGCCCGGATGCCAAAATTCTCACATTAGCAACTTTTATAAGTGTAGGGATAATTTATTAATTTCACTTTTGTTTTTTGTTTTTTTTGCCCACTTTTGAAATTGAATCAACAGATCAGACACAAAACTGAGGTGATAGGATTGGTTCACTGAATCTGGCACAATTGGGCTCTAAATTCTAATATTAGAATGAAAAAACAAAAGAAAAGAAAGTGCTGCTACATACCTCTCAACACAGAGAAAAATGCATCCCCAGGTTGAGGAGGACGTTGATATGTGAACATCATCCAGACTTTCTCCATTTCCTGCCTTTTGCGTTCCCGCTCCTTTGCCGAAATCCCCCTCATCACCGAAACAATTGAATCTATCTGCAAAGGGATGAAACCATAACCCATACCAAAGCATTCCGGAAGCCATGCACGGGATTAATGCTCAGCAGACTGTGTGTGTGTGTGTGTGTGTGTGTGTGTGTGTGTGTGTGTGTGTGTGTGTGTGTGTGTTCTCTCTTTCTCTCTCTCTC